TACTTGTAGACATGATGTTCATGTCAATTGATGATAAAAAGATATGATGTTTACGATGAATATCAAAATAATTGGGTACCTAGTTTGTATTCACCCAAAAGTACCAGCCAACCATGTAAGGAATAAAATGGACTCTAATGAGCTAGTCCTTAATTTGCTTCAAGAAATTTGTAATAGACATGAACATTTCGTGTCAAAGAACTAGTTTATTTTATTTGCAAGTTTTTTATAAGTATTTTTTGAATATTATTCCAATTTAAAAAAACAAAATGTAATATTTGTTTAACACATTTTTTTCTTCGACATAACTTTATTATATAATTGTTAAGCTAGAGCCATTGCTTTCTTTGAGGTTTATTGTTTGCTTTGGTTTCTACTTAGTTGATTTTTACATATAGTTTATTAAATAGGAATGGAAGGAGAAGAAGTGAGAAATAATATGTCAACTCCTCAAACTTCTACAACACCGAGTGAAAGCAACCAACTTCCAATCTCTATTGATAAAAATCAATCTACCAACTCAACTCCAATGACTCTTGATGAAACAGATAGACATAGATCAATTGTGTGAAATCATTTCAAGAGGAAAACAATTGATAGGAAGTTAAAGGTTGAGTGCAATGAATGTAAGAAATTGCTTGTTGGTGGTGCTAAGAATGGAACTACCCATTTGCATGACCATCTTAGAAGTTGTTCGAGGAAGAAATATAAAAATTTGAAGCAATGTTTATTGGTATCAAACCAATTAAAGACGGATATCGAGAAAACAATGAAAAATTGGCGATTTGTTCAAGAGGCGGGGAGGAGGGATCTTGTCAATATGATTATATTGCATGAATATCCTCTTAGTATGGTTTGAGTATCACGGGTTTCAAAAATATTGTCACACTCTTCAACCAATGTTCAAAATGTTATCCCGGAACACTCTTAGAAATAATATCCTTCAAATTTACAAAACCGAAAAGGAGAAGACAATGAAGTTGTTGGAAAAAACAAAAAGTAGAGTTGCTATCACTACAGACATGTGGTTCTCAAACAATCAAAGAAAGGGATATATGGCAATCACCACACACTTTATTGACAATTCTTGGACATTGTAAAGTCGGATTATAAGGTACTAATGATCTTTCATTAAGATGTGTTATTTATTTTAAGGTACTAATGATCTTCTATTAACATATGTCATTTATTATCTTTAGATTTTTATATGTGTCTTATACACATACCAAGGAAGTGCTTGTGGAGTGTTTGATGGATTGCTTTTTCGATTGGAACCTTGATAGAAAATTGATCACTTTGACTGTGGATAATTGTACCACTAATGATGCAATTGTGACTATTTTGTTGGATAAACTTCCATTTGGTTCACTAATATTGCATGGTCGGTTGTTCCATATGCGTTGTTGTGCACATATTCTCAACTTAATTATCCAAGATAGTTTGAATGTGATTGAAGATAGTATTGAAAGAATTCATGATAGTGTTGCTTATTGGACAACATCTCCCAAGAGAGTGCAAAAATTTGAAGAGGCAACTCATCAAATACATATTACAAGTAACAAGAAGCTTGCTCTTGATGTTAAGACTCGATGGAACTCTATTTTTCTCATGCTTCAAACTAGTTTGATTTATAGAGATGTGTTTGCTCGCTTGAAATATCGAGATTCTCATTACAAGATTTGTCCGACTGAAGATGATTGGGACGTGGCAAGAGAGATTTGTGAAAAATTGAAATTGTTTCATACTGCAACAAAATTGTTTTCAAGTACAAAGTATCCTACTGCCAATGTGTACTTTTCAACTATTTGTGGGATAAGAGTAGAAATATCTAAGTGGCTTCAAAGTCTCAAAGACATGATAAAAGATATGGCCTTGAATATGTTGAAAAAGTTTAACAAATATTGGACTGTGATTTATGGTGTTATGGGAGTAGCCACTGTTTTAGATCCACAGTATAAGTTGGGAATTCTGAAGTATTATTATGAAAAAATGTATGGAGGTGTGGAAGCTTTAAATGAAGTAAAGAGGATTAAGGAGTTTTGCTTGGAATTGGTAGGCGAATATGAAGCGATGCAAGGAAGTGACTATGTACCACATCATTCTCCTCCCCCTCTTCAATCAGATATTGATTCTAAATGTCCATTAATTGATAATCTCTCTGATTTTGATAAATTTATACAAACAAGAGACATAACAAAAGCACGGGGGAGATCTGAGTTGGATCGTTACTTAGAAGATGGTATGATGTCAAGAAGTTTAGATTTTGATATACTATCTTTTTGGAAGACAAGTGGTCCCAAGTATCCTTTGTTTCAAATGATTACTAAAGATTTTTTTGTTATTCCTGTTTCTACCGTGACTTCGAAATCTGCTTTTAGCACAAGTGGGAGGGTGATCAGTCCACATCGCAATAGATTTCTTCTAACTACAGTGGAGGCTTTAATGTGCTCTCAAAGTTGGTTATGTGCTGACGAACGAGGTAATGACATATTATTTATATGTGCATCATAATTTTTTTTTGGGGTGGGTAAAGTATGACTAATGCATTATTTTTTTTTGTTAGGTTCATCTACTTCGAAGGACCTGAAGAGCTACACATTATTGGAGGATCTTGATATTGATGATGAGATATATCATTTTAGTTGAAAATTTTTGTTTTGGAAGAATCTAATTTTTTTTTCTTTTAATGATATAGGAAAATGATGTTACAGAAGTAGATTTTACCACCACCGATGGTGTCAAGTGATGATTGAGTTGGTGTGAAGCTGGTGTTAAGAGATGATTGAGTTGATTGAGATGATTCTACCACCCGTTATGTTATTTGTGTTATATTGAGTATTTTGGACATTTGTTGTTTGTTTTATATTCGAATATGTTATGCTACATTATATTGTTTTAGATTATGTTACATTATTTAGAATGTTGATGGATTATTTAAAATGTTGGAATTATTTAGAATTTTAGATTATGTTGGCTTGAACTTGGATTTAAGCTTAGGCTTAAGCTTGGACTTGGGCAGGGACGGGAGAAGCGGGGACGGGGATTATAAATTTACTCGCGGATGGGGATGAGAATGAAAATTATACCCGTTAGCAGGGATGAACCGGGGATGGACGAATATTTTTTAAGCGGGTACGGGGATGAAGACTATACCCCCCGCCCTCGCTTCAGTCCATTGACATCCCTAACTACTGCTGAACTCTACTAGTAGCGAATGCTTTTTCAAGAATTGCAAGTTCCACTTACATCTGCGCCACAACTATGGTGTGATAACATGGGAGCTCTAGCCTTAGCTTATAATCCAAATTTTCATGCCAAGACCAAGCATATAGAAGTTGACTATCATTTTATCAGAGAGAATATATTGAATAAGGATCTTGTTGCTCGCTATGTATCCACCACTGATCAGTGTGCTAATATTTTTACAAAAGGATTGACTTCATCTCAGTTCTCATTTTTGCGAGACAAGTTCATAATCATTGCACCTCCCATGAGCTTGAAGGGGGCTGTTAGTGTACCTCAAGAAAATGAAAACGATCAGCTTTAGAATAATTCAAACTTAGGTTTATCTTTAGAATCATGATAATCTGTTAGTCAAAGTTATCAACATTTTAAGTTATAAATAGTTAGAAGTTGATATATTTTAATTTTTCAAATGTAAAGAGATATACTCTCCTATAACTAACACTTTTACAAATTGATATCAACGAAGTAGTGTTTGACATTCTAAGCCAAACCCTTTCCCAACTCATTCTCTTTCAATCATCACTGTGCATGAGTGTGTATTTTGTTTTATTAATATATTAGTTATTGTCTGTACATGAAGGCACAGAGTAATAAAAAATAGTAAACAATAAACATATTTGTATTTATATCCAAAATCAAATTACAAGCATAGAGAATAGATAAATGAATTTAAGCATCAGTTTGTAGTGAGAGTGAGAAGTGGTGGGTGACAATGGTGTTTGTAGGAGACGGTGATGGTTGTGGTGGGTGACAATGACCGTGATGGCGACGACGGCGATGGTGGGTGTGAGGGTGGTGGTGGTGATGGGGGTGGCAGTGGTGGAGGCGGTGGTGGCGGCGGTGGTGGTGGTGGTAGGCGTGGTATTGGCGGTGATGGTGATGGTGATGATGGTGGTCATGACAGCGGTGGTTGTGGTGGCGATGATGGTGGTCTTGAGAGTGGTGGCGGTGGTGACGACGATAGTGGTGGTAGTGACGGCAATGGTAGGGGTGGCCGTGGTGGCAGTGACGGCAACAATGGTGGTAAAAGTAATGATAGAACAGTTTCAAACACTATTTTAAAAAAAAATATTTATAAGAAATAATTTTTAAAAATATTTTTAAAAAAATTACTCCCAACACACCATTATGAGCCTATTTTTCCTATTAAATTTAAGATGTTAATATTAGTCGTTAAATTAACTTTAAAATAAAATTTAAAGCGATTTCAACCGCAAATAATAAAAATTATTTTGTTTATCTTTTGAAATTTGAAATTTGAATTGTAAGCTACTTTGTTATATAGATGTTTTCAATATATTAATACATACATGCATGTGTGCGTGTATGTATTTTATTGTATTAGTCAATCGCTTCCTACATACTTTTCCAGGGACAAACGTCCTTTACTTCCAACATACTTTTCTACATTTAATTGATCCAAAGTTAACGGCTAGGATTTCCTGGGAAATTGGCGTGGGTAAGCCATTCAGAAACACATCGGAATGGAATACAGAGAGAGAGAGAGAGAGAGAGAGAGAGAGTTACAATATGAAGGTAATGTTTGTATCATCACTATTGTGTCTACAAATCATTCATTGTCCATGTATGTTTTGCAGCAGGAATGTGAGTCCGTTTCAGAGCATCACAACGCCAATGTCCGGCACTCTTCTACAAAATACATACCCGTGCTCGATGTCCCAACATGTAATTGCGTTGAAAGAGCGTGGATAGCTTGGCATATAACTTTGTTTGTGCAAAACCCGGCGCTTGCACTATTCCTCAAGGCGAGCAAACCAATCGGTGATCGTTCTGGCAAGGATTCGAGTGTCATTTAGTGAAAGAGTCTTGAGCCCTTGAGCAATAGCATCTGCTGGAGTGTACAAGTCACCCACCTGCCATCTTGGTTCCTGATTATGCCAAAAAAAAAAAAAAATCCAAAATTATAGCTGCCAAAATGATGATATTATTAACTCTCTGAAAGTACGTATATCCACCAAGCTCAGAAGGATGTATGCAACAAGGTTTTTCCAAATTTCATTTCAGATATGATATTACCGAAATTCATTACTCAGAATTGTTAGAACAAGACAACATTGTATGTAAGCCGGCTGCATGAAGTATGGCTCTACTTAGACGTTAAAAGCATTCGTAGTATACCAACTGTACAAATTTTGATTCTGTTTTCCTGTATACATCCTAAAGCTGTGTTCCGACCACCATTCAAATGTTAATTATGTAGTGGAAATGAGTGCCTTGTGGTTATCTGGGGGGGAAATTGAATGGTGGATAACATAAGGACAGGAAATTCATGGAAAACGTGTAAAATCCAGCACAGATCTTAAAAGGCCAGTTTGTGAATTTTGACCGACACTAGACATGAAACTTTTTGTATTTTTGGATTTCTTTTCGCCAAGGGCACCAGTTGAGCACTACTTAGTATCTTCAATGTGTGTTTCGGGCAGAGGTGAGAGGCTGGCTCGTTACAACTCCTAAACCGCCCGCGCCACTCAAGTATGCATATTCTCTCACAACGTAGAAGCAAAACATGCATCAAGATTGGCAAGTCTATTACCTGTATGCATGGTGTGATGTGGGTACCTCCCAATACAACCTTCTCTAGTTTTCCACCTATAGAGTCCACACGTGGCTTTAATGTCTCCTCAAGGAGATCTGTCTCATCAATTGCATCATTATTGAACTTAACCTGAGACAACAAACAATGTACTCGGTACTGCAAGCATAAAAGGCATCCATTTTGATTAATTCGGTATATATGAAGTAAATACCAGTAGTGTCTGCTGGATGTTGTACGATTTTCTAAAGCAATCAAGATTCTCAGAGGGTGTTGGCTTGAACTCTGATATTCCTTGTGCAAGCTAAAAGAAACAATATCCACGTTAGAAACTACTGAGATACCATTACAGCAATTTGGGCGAATATCATCCTCAATTACTGAGTCGTGCATCCCGTCAACCTAAAGAGGATCATAATTTCAGCTCATCTGTTAAAGATTACAATCCTGTCTCTATTAAAAGATCAAATCCTTTTCTGGATAAAAGGAGGGGAGAGGAAAGCCTTGGGGTATGCCGACTTCTGCATTTTTGTTTAGGTTTCCACTTATGATAACCAAACTTGGTAACCAAACTCTTTCTCGGTGAAAAAAATCAAAAAATTTCCATTGGGCAAGTTCAACTATATTTGGCTAATTCATCTTTCCTTAAGAGGGTTGTCCCTGGTTTTGGTGAGTTTAGTTTTGTTGCTACCATAACTGTCATCTAGTCGCACGCACCACCACCTTCCTTTCCCCACCAGGCAAGACTGGGGGAGGGTATAGCAAGGGAGCCTGAGGGAGGGCATGCTTAGCACACCAATTGGCATTGCCTAGTAATACAACATGCAAATCGTTCCCCACTCAACTGGTGGATGTAGGGGACACGTTGTAGCACAGTGGCACGCCAATCAATGGTGGGCACACCAGCCTTGTCTGGCACTGGCATGTTGCGTCTGCAAAGAAAAGTCAACTGGTGTTTGGCGAGTTCTCCCACTGGCTCCCCTACCAATGTACACTCCTGATGTAAACCTACCAATGTGCCTCGAGTTACTATTTACACTCCTAATCTCAGTGGTAGGTTTACATTATTAAATAGCAGGGTAATCAACAACTTTATTTATCACCAAATAGGCAAAAGAAAAGGAGGTTGATTAAGTAGAAAAGTTAAATAAGGGCAAGAAGGTAAAGAGAGGCAAGGGCTGTGATCCATCAAAGCAATAGATCTTAATTAAGCAATAGGTTTTAATAAAGCAATAGATCTTAAAATGCAGTTTCTTCTAGCAACATTGAGGTGCCAAAATACCTGATTAAATACTGAGGGCAACTGATCGACAAATTTGGTTAGGGAAACTACTGCTTCTGGATCATAGTCTGGTACCATTGCTCCAGCAGTGTCACGAAGCACATTCCACGCATCTCCTATATTTTGTATTCATGACAAGATAGAGAATTAGAGAGCGTAAAATATAAAAGATTAAATATAAGCTCTTAATAAAGTACATAAAGAGCATAGAGAAATTATACAGCTAAGAATAATGATTTCCTAGCCTGATCTTCATCAAGCATAGCAGAACATGTTGAGCTTATTGTCAGTTACCTAAACTAAGAGAGCACATATAAGGTGGAGGAAGCGAAAGATGTTGCAAATATTTGAAATAACTTGCAAATATTGTAGAATTGTTGTCCTTAAAATTAGTTTGAATTAGGCTTTTAACCACATTCAACTTCAACCAAAGCTGGACATCATTATATTCACTTTCTTCACGTAAACCTTTTTCCTTCATTTACATGGGCAACTAGATGTTGGTTTCTGCCATAGTTAATAAAGGTCAAATTTTGGCTTTTAAAAAATCAAAAACAGAATAATTCCTTGGTTCTTAATATGGTCAAGAGAATGACTTCCTGTGTAAAAATGTAGAATGTTTCTCTTAGGCCGATCCTTTTTTTCCTGGGTTAGGGGAGAGGTGCTGGGGTGTGGGGGAACAAGTTGTAGTCCAGTAACATAAATCTTTCCCCAAAAGAAACACATCTCAATGTCCTATTGTCATTCATAAAATTTCAAGCAAAGAAGTTATTGTCAAGTCTAACATTAGCTCCTTGCTACAATTGTGTCTTCATATTCTGTGACAAGTGACATTTATATCTCATATCCATATCCATGCAAAATTAACAAAATGTCCCAGACATACTTGGAATGTCATTAATGATTTAGGTAGCAAATTATAGCAGCCTACTAGAGTAAAAACAATGACAAAAAAATAAGTAACAACGCAAGATCAAGAGGTCCCAGTTTAACAGACTCTTCCGCTGAAGGCTTAGAAACAATACACTAAGAGATAAGGGTTAAATTTTCAAGAAAATAAAAGAAGGAAATGCAAGAGCTGAATCACTGCCATTTGGCCGGGGACAGTTGCTACTAATTTATATTTTTCTCTCGGTACACTCCTCATCTGCTTCACTATCACATGCACCTTGAGGAAAAAGAAAGGTGTGGCTATCATTATTTGGGAGTCAAAAAGAAGATCTCCATAACATGCAGCAACACTTCAGCATCATGAGACTAAGATGTGGCTACTTCATTCGCACAATATCAGAATCTAACTAGAAGAGTAACATAAAATTCTGGGCACAAAGTAACTAAGTCTAGAAGCAGACTTTGATTGTACTCTACCTGAGGCACTCCTAGCCATTGAATAGACTGGAGATGCTTCCACAATAGGCATCATCTGACTAACCAGAGGACCCAACTGCAGGATAGCATTAGAAACCTTTTAGGATGTGTGGTAATAATTTACGAACGTAACGTGAATTGCGTCAGAAGACTAAAGAAAATTTTATTGGCATCTAACACATTTTTCCTTTCCTTCTCTTTTGTATATCAGTTCAATATTGAGTAGCACTAAGGGTAGCAAGAGGTGCTGATCTGAACAGAACTCGTCCTTCCTATGTTCTCCTTTTTTCTACAAAATCTTCTTAATCAATGATCTGATACCGGAGAAAATTTGATCCAGTGTCAATCTTGACCAGTTCATGTATGTCATTTTTCCAACTTCTTTGCTCTTCTTTGGTTCTCTTGTTACTTCTTAAATTTTCCCTTCTGACAGTAATAAGACTGATTCATATTAAAGAAAATATAGAAGAGAAGAACTCTTAAGGCTTAAAACCTTATGAATCCTTTTGGACATGTTTGTTCTGACAAAATCAATAAGTATCTAGTGGTTGACAATGGTTAATTGATGAATTATCAAAACAGAAAGATCTTAAAGAAAAACAAGGCATATCAAACTGGAAAATGTTTCCGATTTTGCTGTCGTGATAACAGCGGAAAAAAAGGTATTATTGCCACCTTCCTAATTTGTTGAGTGGCATTCTATTCACGGACAGCATAATTCCTTCTTTCTCCAGTGATGCTTGAATTTGGTCCTAATGAGCCATATCATGGTTCCTTGTGTGCTTGCAAGACACTTTAGCAACCAACAAACATAGAGAAAAGGTAATATAGCCTTGTATTGGTGTACATTGTCGAGAGTCGCGATTCAAACCATTTCAACATCCTAAGTGCATAGTAATGATTTGCTTTCAAACCACTGGTAGACTTCAACCCAACCGACCTATAGTTTAATCAGTCGTGCAACATTTCTATTCCACTTTTGCCATTCCAGCCAATGGTCTCAGTAAGTTTCCTATTTCTCCTCCCCAAAGCTGGCTTGACCTGTGACACGCTCCAACCCAGAGCAACAACTGGCTATTTTTCCATAAAAGTGAACACCTAGACTGTAGGTCATCTCATTCCTTTAGCCACTGGATGGTTCCTTCCCTTATATAAATAACTCATTGTGCAAGGATATCTACTAGAAGAAAAAAAATGATTAATGTGACCATGATTAATGTAACCATGATTAATGTGAACAAGCTCCAGCACAAAAGGAGGACGCCTAACATCTATCTTAATTGTAATTAGGATTATGAGATCAAACGTCATCTCTTTTTCCCATTGTACCATCAAATTATCCCACTGGATTGGAGTTGCTAAAATTAGCTCATCACCCCTAGGTGGACTGCCTCTAGTATTTAGTAATGGCAGGGTGCATGCCTTGCGAGTGGGCCAAAAAGCCTCCATTTAGTTTTAAATTGATAGGTAGATATCTGACACGCTTATCAATGACTACAATGCAAAGTCTGAGAATGAGGCCAATCTTGCTTTCTTTTTGTGACCATGAGCTAGACTTGTTTCAGACATGATTCGGAACAGGATAACAGCAATTGTCAACAATGCAAGCGCCACACCTCAGACTGAATGGATTGCTCCTCATCTATGCTGCCTAAAGTCAAACACTAATGGCTTTAAAGATATTGGGATTGCAATTGCATATACATTTAAGATATACACATATCAAGTTGGGTTAATATCTAAGAGCCTAAAACCCACTTCTTTCGGTGACTCTCATGAAGTAACCTTTGAGTAATTCACTAAGGTCTTAGAGTAGCAAAAGGCAGAGCATGTCAAGCCATTTGGTGAAGGGGAACAATGTGTGGTGGTTTATAAGAGCCATGTCCCTTCCTTTCTTCAAGGTACATAGTTATAACTTCAGTATGTAAGCCTACTTTTTGTGGAGGCCAATATACAAAAATCCGTTTATGAAACACTTTTTCAAATAACTTCCACTGTTTCAAGAGCTATACAATCTCTCAACTCTATCTTTATTGAAACAATCACAAGGGCTTATGCATGAGGATCCAAGCACAACAAATTGACCATTTATGAGGTAGTTATTAAGAGTTTGGAACAATAAACACGAAGTTTGAACACACATTCGTTTATCGAAAGGAAAAACATTAAATGATTTGGAAATATTACCTGCTCAAAATAGGGTACTGCCTCCGATGCCGGCCTGTTGTTGTACGATATTATAGCATTAGCCTTTGACAAGAGATGGGAGATATTAGATGTCACTCTTGAGATTTTTCCATTTATGATAAAAGTAAGGAGCATTTGGACAGCACATTTTGAATCTTTGACTATTGCGTCTGATCTTTATCCAAAATTTTCAGTTAATATTTCCAGTCATACAAGCATGCTTCAAGAGGTAGAAAACAAAGACCAAACCTTCGGTATCTTCTCGCAGAAATTACTTCCCGTGAGCACTTGCAGAAGTGCACCATTACTGCAATTAACAGTTTATAACCCAAAAAAAATTCATAAGATAATGAAGTATGACCTAGTGCTCGCTCTACACTAAAAAAAATATTCTACTGGTAATAGGCATGATGAATTCAGAAAAGATTCTAAAAATATCTTTTAGCCAAAGAAGTAATATCAAGTATGAGCTGAACCTTAGCATAGAATACCTTTTAGCCAAGTGTACAAGTATTGCTAGTTAGAGCTGAAGTTTAACAGCTCAAATTGCTTTATACAAGGCATCTTAGCAGCCACAAACTAAGGGACTAGGAAGCACGGACATTTCATTTTGGCCAGAGTGTCGATTTCGGACACATCTGAGATAAAGACGTGTGTCGGACACTCTAAAATGAGTGTCCAATTTTTTTCTGGATACATTTTGGACACGTTGGAGACACACAACCGACACACGTAGAACACTTTGGGAACACACAGCCGACATGCTTTGAGTTTTTTTTTTTTCAAAATTTTGAGAACTTTTTAAATAAATTTATAGTTAGGAGTTACTTTTGTATTTTTACAAAAATATGAGTCAAAGTCATAATATAAAAAGAGTTATAATCACTACATTGAACATAAGACATGAATGTAACATAATTTTGGATACAAATACGAACTTATATACACATGGAATAAACTTTTAATACGAATGTAATGTGAGAAAAAAATGGGATTACAAAACTGGGGCTCTTTGAAATTGATGAAAATTAGTGTTACGAAAAGGCATATTTTTTAAAATGAAAGTTATAGTAGTTATTGAGTGTTGGATCATGGATGTTAATGTTGAATGTGTAAATTTTGATCAAATAATAAAAAAAGAAATTAGAAGAAAGATATATTATTGAAGCATAACTAGTCAGAACAACCTTAAAGAAAAACTATATATAAGAAGTATTTATAGGGCAAAAGGAAAACAAATAGACTAAGCTATGGCAACATAAAAGAAAACAAATGACTAACCTACCCCTAAGTCTAAATATGTGAACTACTCTAACACCCTCTCTCAAACTCATGATGTGGTAACATTAAATATCAAGAGTTTGCTAAGGAGAAAACCAGAAGCGCGCGATGGTGGGCAATTTCTTAAAGAAACGATCAGCAAGTAGCCAACGCAACCAAACTATCTTTGTTGTTGTGAAGGCTATAACATTATACTCGGTTTCAGCAGATGATCGAGCCACAACAGTTTACTTTTTACTTTTCCACAAAATAAGAGAATCACCAAGGAAGAGACAGAAATCAGTAGTGGATTTGCGATCCATAGAGTCGTCAACCCAGTCCGTATCAGAGTAAGCACGGAGTTCCAGAGACTTAGAGGAAGAAAATAATAAACTCAACAAAAACTCCAAGTGTAGGCTTAACAAATTAAGGCCCAAATAGCAATGAGGGGTCCAACAAAAAACCAAAACCCAACAAAAACCACCAGCAATAATGCCCAACAAAACAAAGTCCAACAAATAAGAGAAGAAAAGTCAAACCAGCAGCCCAACAGAAAGAAGCCCAAATCAACAAACCCAAAGGATTAGGGTTGCTCAACAATGCCCAACAAAATAAAGCCCAACAAAGAAGAGAAGAAAAGTCAAACCAACAACCCAAAAAAAAAAAATCCAAATCAACAAACCCAAGTGATTGGGGTTGCCCAACAAAAATCACCTGCAATAATGCCCAACAAAACAAAGTCCAACAAAGAAGAGAAGAAAAGTCAAACTAACAGCCCAACAGAAAGAAGCTCAAATTAACAAATCCAAAGGATTGGGGTTGCCTAACAAAAACCACCAGTAATAATGCCTAACAAAACAAAGTTCAACAAAGAAGAGAAAAAAAGTCAAACCAGTAGCCCAATAGAAAGAGGCCCAAATTAACATCAACCCAAATCAACAAACTCAAAAGATTGGGGTTGCCCAACAAAAATCACCGGCAACAATACCCAAATCAAATAGCCGAAAGCCCAATAGTCCAAATTAACAAAAGAATAGTCAAACCAGAACTAACCCCAAACCAGCAGTAGCCAAAAGCAGAAACTAGAACCAAAAGCCAAAATTCGCCATAAATTAACTCAACAACTTTACAAATAAAATACCCATAACAGTCGAATTCGGCATTGTTCACAGCACATGAACAGTATCTTCGGTACTGTTCACCGCGCATGAACAATAATTTCGGTACTGTTCACCGAGTGAACAATAACTTCGGTACCGTTCACAGCCCTTAGAACCATTTTAGCTCTGATACCATGTAAACTTTGATTAAATAATAAAGAAATAAATTATAAAAAAAAATATTATTGAGGCATAACTACCCAGAACAACTTTAAAGAAAAACTACATATGAGAGGTATTTATATAGTAGGGCAAAAAGAAAACAAACAGACTACGCTAAGGCAACATAAAAGAAAACAAATGACTAACCTACCCCTAAGTCTATATATGTTAACTACTCTAACAGAATGTGTATCGGTATATCTTATATTGTAACTTTTCTGTAGCAATATCATGATGTGAATTTTTAAACTTAAGGGAAGGATGAATTAAAATATTATTATGATAATATTTTTATTTTATCACATAATTTTTTATATATATAATTTAACATACTGTCAACGTGTTTGTGTCCTACTTTTTTGAAAAATTTCGTGTCACCATGTCCGTGTTGTGTTGTATCCATGTCTGAGCTTATAAGCTAAGGGACCTTAACTCGAAAATAATTTTGTTAATTTTGGTAGCATATAATAAATTCTATATTCAAGCCTTCCCATTTCAATACACGTTTCCCATTCCGTTCTTTCTTCATGGTTTTAAGGCACTGAATCCTTACTACATTTGTCTTAGCTTAGTGGCTAAGTTGATTATATGAGACTCTGAGTTCGAATCTTGTCTGTTGAGCCAACTAAAGACGGACAACTAAATACTACAATAACTTTGTTACAGCTTAATGAGATAAGAATGTCCTTCACACCAGCATAGAACAAATCTCCTGGTCTTATTTGTATTCGAAAGGAGGTGATGATTTATATCTGTTGAACAACCATATCATTGCATAAAAGACATGAAGTCCCCAACCTAAAACTTATTCGGGCAAGCATGCAATCTCAAATGTCATATCTGAGGCAATATCTCTCATCTTCTGCACAAAAAATAATCTAAAGCCTTTATTCTAAGAAAAACATGAGATATCAAAGAACTAGGATAATCGAACTCACCTATGGCCAACAGAATAATATGGAAGATCAACAAGTTCTGCTGCAGTTAGGCTGGCATCGGGTAACCCAGATGCCAAAATTTCATTCAAGCAGGCATGGAACCTCCCATAAACTTCTCTAGTAGCTTGAGTATGGTCAAAGGTCACATTATATGGCACAGAAATAATAAGGTAGCCTTCATTTGCCAGAAGCCCAAGTAGATAGCTAGAGGAACAGAAGAACATAGACATAATCAGCCTAATACAAATACCTAATTTTGGTGAAGTGTAAATCTGTATTTTGTACCTAAGATAAATGCACACCAATTGGCTTATGAACAATGCGAAACTTCCTTAACATAGAATCTAGTGAAGTTCTCGAATCTCACCTGTAGGTAACTTCCGGAACTGCTCCGACAAAAGCACCACCGAGAAATTTAATGATTGCCCGTGGCTTCTTACCTTCAGGTGGAGGAATGACCAAACAAGAACCCAATCTTTTGTAGATCTTATCAGTAATATTACTTTTCATGTAATTGGTTTTTCCCACATACCCATTCGAAACCATCATTTTCAAGGGAATCATGGAAAAGATGGCCTTTTTTCCAATCCATGGATAGAGTTGATGGTCAAGCTTTTGGGGTGCGTGAAAGAAATTTGTAAAATTCTTCTGAGAAAGGCATTCTAGTTTCATAACTGGTAAGCCTGAAAGGGTAGACAGTCCCATACGAGTATTCCCCACAAATAACCCCGCCATTGCTAACTGCAGTTAGTAGTAAAATTCATTGAACACAATATAGGAACTCAGCTTAAATTGCAACGTAAAAGATGATAACAACTTGATTAAACCAAAATCCCAATAGTTTATAAATCTATTCACTCTTAAAAGCTTCCCTCATTGCCCAAATAATCTGACAAACAAACTGCCACACAAGTAAATGATTGAACTGAATTAATAAAAATAAAGTCCCAAGCACCTAAATAATCTGACTAACAAACTTCCACACAAAATAAATGGTTAAACCAAATTAATAAAACCAAAACCCCAATAGTATATAAAGCCATTCCCACTCTAAAAAGAGATCTTTTCACTTCCCAAATAAGCCAACTTACAGACTTTCAGCTTTTTCCTCTATAATATTATGTATATGGAAGTGAACATGCAATACCCTGTGCAGATATTGGAACTTGACCTGAACACAGATATTATATGACATTTTAATTACAGCAAATTTCCAAACCCAAAGTCTAATCTTACATATTTATGACAGAACACTGTAGGCATATCAATTTTTCAACAATAAAGAAATCAAAAAGCACAATGGATATCAAGTCCAACCCAAATGGGTATTTCAAANAAATAGTAGCCACTTGAAAGATCATTATGCAAATGGTAAGTTCAAGCAAGTGATAAATGGTCACATGGTAGTTTCTGGGAAAAAATATATACATAAAAAGAATAGTCTTGTAGTCTTTTTACAGGACATACAATTGTTTCCAATAAAACAAGATGAGGACTTTTTATATTGAAGTATGTCAAAGGAAGCAAACATACAACAAAGTATATATGGCCAAAAGTAACCTTGGGAGGAGCATTCAGAAATCTTCATCTTCAAAGAACTCTGTAACTCATTCAAGAAGAATAGAAACAATGTAGTGAGGGCTTCAATCTCAAGTTATTTAAATTACATCATTATAAGGATAACCTCTTTGTTCCTCTATTTATGTATTATAAACCACGATGATTGACCATCCATTCGAACAAGGGATGATCAAAAAAAGGCTTTGAAGCTAAAAATGATGCAATGCAATTTGATCCGTTGAACATAAATGGAGGTCCTATAACTCTGGCGAAAGTGAAAAGGATGAAGGAAGCATTGAACGGGCTGATTCAAGACATATGGGTTGATTGTGCAAGTTCAAGCATGGAGAGTGCATTTGGAGGCTTTTATACCATGGCATGCATGGGCCTTAAGGGGAAAAGTCCTCAAGTTCATTTTAATGTAATTCAAGTCCAACAAACCTGATTCAGTGGCTGTATGGGCTGATTTAGGTTATTTAGGGATTTTAGGCTGATTACTTGTTTTAAGCCCAGCTTTAGTTATTTCTATTTGGGTTTGGATTGTCAAAATATAAACTCCTATTATTGTTAGGCCTATAAGGGGGCATAATTGTTGGGTGTTACGTTCTCCTTAGTAGATTAGGATTTGTTTCCTTTTCTTATTTGGATTAAGACAACTTAGCTAAAAAGTAGGAATTATGTTGTTGGCAGATTTTGGTTTGTTTTATGGCTTTATATACACACACATAAGACCTTGTAAAATATAAAATATCATTTTTATTAGTATTGTGAGATTTTCTACCTTATTGTTCTTCCAAAAATTATTTTAAGAACTTATCAAGAATCAATCTTCTTGTGGCGTTCATCGACTTATCGCTCAATCTTTAGTGTGTCATCTTTTTTTTTTAACTTTTGACCTTGGGTTCTTGTTTCTTGAAACCCTTAGGTCTAGGGTTCATGGTTCATATAATCTGATTTGTGAACTTTCTTGGGGATTCTTCAATCAATTTTCGTTTGGACTCTTGAATTCGTTTAAGGGTTCTCATTAGTTTGGTATCAGAGCACTCAGGTTTGTTTTCTCAAATTAGATTGGTTATCTTTGTTTTGTGCACATATAATTTGACCAAGTTAGGGTTTCTTACTGCTATTTGGTATTTCTTTTTCTGTTTATGCACATCTATTTTAACCAAAAAAAAATAGGTTTTTATCTTTCTCTTTTTGTTTTGCGTATTATTATGTGATTTGGGCGTGTCTTGCAACTGGAGTTCAGTTGTATTTTTTTATATAATTTTAATATCAATTAGGGTTGCATAATATTGGCAGAATTAAACACAAAACTTGCTTATGAATCGGTTGTGAAATCTACTGCCCAATTGCGCATATTTTGCCACTTTTAGATCTGATATTAAAAAAAAAGGAGAAAAACATCTTTTAAACAAAAAGAAAAGAAAAGAAAGAAAGAATTGAATTGAGGCTAATCAATTGGCTTTACCGCAGATTTGTGTTGAGATTTGAAAAAGTAATCAAAATTTCTTCTTCTGATCATTCACACATTTGTTATCTCAAAACATGTCATCCTTATTGATTTAACCCCTTTCTTGACCCATTTGTTGCTTTTAAACCATTGTTTCGTCTAGTTTTTGCTGAATTCGTATTCGTTATTTTGTTGTGTTTCTTTGTTTCATTTTCATGTTATCGTTGTTATTCTCTCTTTTCATTGTTCATTTTGGTCCTTCCTTTGATATTTGTGCCTAATTTTATCAAGTTGTTGTGCATTGTGAGAATAATTGGTTTTTGGTTGAGTTTTCAGTAGTTTACGAAAGAACAACAAATGTGAAACATGTGAATAGTAAAAGGCTAAATGTGTGAGCTTATCTTAAGCAAAAAGCCAATAAGAGTGTAAACACCAGGATTGAGTGACATTGAAACAAGTGAAACACGTAAGGGAGTGTTTGTGAGGCTATTTCTAACATTTTTTTTTGCAGGTTATAAAACATGACTTCCAAGGATAAAGGAGTAGTTGAGGAGGGTGGTACTGATATGCTATACACACTTTGGGCTATGCAACAACAATTCGAACGTATGAATGCGAGGTTTGATGACATGAGAAATTAGTTGGAGGAGCAGGCGAATGCAATTAATGAGTTGAGAACGAATGAGGGGAGAGGTGATGATGGACATGGTAGGCATGAGGCACCGGTTGAGAGGAGGCAGGATAGGCGTCATCAAAACATTATCGATGATGACAAGTGGGATCTTGATGATTACTTCGATGACCAGGCCACGTTGATTGGGTTTGACCATGGTAGAGGTGGTAGACGTGATCGTGGAGGTGTTAGAGATGTTTATCGGAGAGATGGGAATTTGGGTAGCACTAAGATGAAATACCAGCCTTTCAAGGCAATAATGATCTGGAGGTTTATTTAGAGTGGGAAAAGAAAGTGAAGTTAGTGTTTCATTGTCATGACTATGTAAACCCCCACACTCTTATCTTTATATAGCAAGTAATCATTTCTTTTTGAAATGCAAATATACGTAATGGAGTCTGCATGAACTAAGTAGATTTTAAGAGTAAAAATAACAATGTTAATAGTATAGAATCGGGTAAATATTTAGTTCAAACTTAGTTTTGACTTGTAAATATATGAAACCGTTTAGAATAGAACTTACACCAACTATGTTTGATAAACAAATGTATGTTGTATAAGTTTGGGTTGGTTTTGAAAGGGTTTGTAATAGGTTTGAAATGAAAAATAGAGAAAATAGGCAAATCTAGACAGGACCTACCGGTAGTAC